TAGATATTTGAAAGTTTTGATCTGTCATACAACAGGTTTGCTTTACTATCAGGACAGTCTCTGAGAAATATCGCAACTATATTACCATGGAAATAGCATAGTTGTGAACAGTATTTCACAGGAATATAAGCTTAGTTACAATTTAAAATGTTTTAAACATTATATCATTTTTTTATGAATTAAATCTCACAGCTTTGAAAAACAGTATAATTTTAAAACAAAGCGAAATATTTTAACAGTATAATTTCGGAATGTAGCCTATGTATTTAATAAAGAGACATACAAGTCTCATAGTTTTCAACATTAAAGAAGTCAGATGGAAAATATTAAAAAATTTTCAACTAATAACAGATTTCATGTCATCTGTTATGACAATGGAAAACTAAGAATCTTTAAAAATACTATTTCTGGGCCCTCCCTGGTGGCACAGCAGGTTAAAGCACAGCACTGAGATCTAAAGCCACTTCCTCATGAGTTCGATTCCCGCCTGCCCCGGAGGTGACCACATGGTGTGGCAGACCTCTCCTGACCTGCCCGCTGCTCCCCTCAGCAGTGTACTTAGTCCATCTGCCTGTTCTGCTCCCCACTCTGTCTCTGGTAAAGCCTCTCACCGCCCCTGAGCCTCTGGCCTCTACCCCAGTTCTGTATGCACAGTAAATAAATCTTTTAAAAAAAATACTATTTCTTCTACTGGCATCTATCAGTAAATAGCTATAACTACCTATCGACTCTCCTAGTTATGAAAATGATCTTCACCTTGGGGAAAAAGATGACAAGAATAGTGGACCTACCATCCCCAAAGTTTTGATCGCTATTCCATGAAAGACATTTGGCATTTATATCTGCTTATTATTTTTAAGAATGTAATTTAGGGAGAAAAATGTTAATCATTTTTGGGAAGGGGCTGAAGAAATCCCAGTGAGACATTCTGTAGAGAGAGGTCCTTTGTTAGTCTAGCATCTGACCTTCTATATCTTTGGAAATCATGCAACTTGGCTAATGCAGCCCTTAAAGAATTAATCAAGCAGACTGTTCAGCCCTAGCTGCAGCGGACCCAGCCAATTACGAGTTGCTCAGAAATTCATCACTGGTATGTCCAACCACATTTTCCCACATAAAGATTAGTAGAAATATGTGGAAACAGGGCCCATTCCCACCCCAACACATCCACAATATGGGTTCAGTGAAACAAACTTCAACAGTTTTGCCTTAGTGAAACAATTTATTTGAGAATCCTTTTGCTTTTGTTATGTTTTACCCTTAATACCTTTTTCTGCCAACATTGCAAAGGCTGCCCTATTTCATTAAAACTGAACCAGGGATTTTTATACTCAAACACACTTCTCAATTCAAAGCACTAAAGTCACATGCCACAAGCCTGAATTCATCCGAAAATTAGTAAAATCCCCAAACCCTATCTTTAGTCTTTTCACTGTTGTGATAACGCCCTCCCAAGGCTTATGAAGAAGAAAGCTTTCTTGCAAGAGCAAGAAAGGGGCCAGAGCAGATGAAGACTGGTTCTCCTAGGAGAGGGCAGTGCTGCTCTTCAATAAGAAGCTCCTTTCAGATAAGCAGAATCAGATTCCAGTTCATTCGGTGTGCTGGCTACCCTTACTTTGAACTCTCATATTTAACCCAGCAGGCTTCAAAGCAGGTGAGAAAATGACCACTTAAAAGCAATTTCTTCTTTTTCAGGAATTCTGGCCTTGGTGAATAACAGTTCTGATATCAGCACATTCCACATCTCCAGGGATTTATGCATTTTTTTCCACTGCTCTATGTCTAATGTCAGACTAGGTTTTCATCTCAGACAGAAGAAAACCTGGGGGCGGGGAAGGGAGAGAGGATGAGGGAGGTCCTAACTTGCTGAAAATGAAGTCTTAGTGCACATAACTTTTTACCATACAAAAAAAGAAGGTGCACTGAGACCACTAACTGTTCCAGTTTGTTCTTTCCCATTTATCTAAATCTGACATACAGTGATTATTAAAAAATCATTAATCCCAACTGCCTTGCTTCACAAAAAAGCAATTTTATACAAAATGTATTTCACAAATTCTAATGATTTTTACCTTAGCATGTGAGCTAGTACAAAAAGATGTTGATGAGGAAGAGATAATGGCAACAATGGAAGAACTTATAGGAAATTATCTTAAATAATTAGAACAAATAGGGTGCAAAGATTCTTCACTGATCTCTATTGCATCAACTATCTGACTTAATTAAGTCCTAACACAGCCTGCTTGCAGCTACCCAACAGGTGCTGCTTTATCAGGCAGTTTGCCAGTACCTGGGATCTGACACATTTCTCCCTTTGTTGTGTTCACATTCACATTATGTACCAGAAGTACAGTACTAATAATATTTTTAAAATTATACCTGCCTACCACTTTCTGTAGGAAAATGCATTTTGAATTTACCCTTAGGATGTAGCTCCTCCAGAAATAAAGTGGGTAGGGTTCCCCCCACAGTTACATTTGGTGACGGTGACAATGATGGCAGTGATGACAGCAACACTCGCCTAGTGTTCACTAAGGACAGACATGGTTCTAAAGACTTGACAAGTTTAAATTCACTTAACCCTCACAAAAACCTATAAGGAAGAACTATTCTAACTTTACTATAAAAGGGAGAAAAGGTTAAGTAACTTACTCAAGGTTGCACAGCCAGTCAGTGTCAGGGTTGGAACTCACAGCAGAGCAGCCTGGCCGGAGTCTGCACAGGCAGCCACTCCGCAAGGCCGCCTGGCTCCACCTTGGCAAGGCAAAGTATGCAGGGACTTGGAATTCCTCACATGCAGGTAGCAGGCTTCTTGACTTTTAAATGTGCACCTATGGCCAGGGGCTCTTGTTAAAACACAGATTCAGCAGGCTTAGAGGGGCACCTGAGCTTCTCCACTTCTGACAAGCTCTGGGCGATGGGAATGTTCTAGTATGAGGACGGCACTCGCAGTGGTGAAGAAGTGAGGCTTCTGGTGCCTTTAGGGCTGGCTGTCAGTGTGTTCGTATGTTGTGCTCATAAGCTGGAGACTGCCCATACCACAATTCTTAAATGGAACCTGCCCAAGGTAACTGCTGCATCCAAATTTTGGTTTGCAGGTACTTTCAGTAAATACTTAGCTTTTAGGAACTTAAAAGCTACATATAAAGGCCACAGACATAAAATGTGACTGTAACTTTGTTCTTAGGTACATTTTTAACACTAAATACCACCAACCATACAATAGGTAATACCCGTTTATTGTCCATCAACTAGCACAGTAGATAATACTGATCTGAAAAAGAAGCTATGACTTTAAAAATGCAATTCCTTCTTAGACTCTGCTAGAGGAATGCCACTGGGGCTTGTGCTATGTAATCTTAAGGTTCTCTGGTACACCAACAATCTCTTAGTATAATACTAATACCAATGGATAGAGGAGGCTATTGTGCACATTATGTCCAGATTAGTGTTAGTCAGTACTACATGGAAGTACTACTAACAATTGCTACACATCTATTCTTGATTCTAGATCTTCCTCCTCACTCTAGTTCACCTCCTTCCCACTACCCTCGGGGAAACTCAAAGACCATCTCTCCACTGCTTGTCTGCGACCTCAAATTCAGAGTTGTGAACTTTTTTCGCCGCAGTTAAATAGATGAGTTTCCCTGTTTAGTACATATTTTCACACTAGATTACACAGAAGGTCATACCAATTTGCAATTCATTTGCTCCCCAGTCAACACCACTGCAAATACTAGATTATGGTATGGCCACAAATATTAACCTTTTTACACTAGAAGAAATACAACCACTAGTTTCCCACCCAAATATCTTGATGCTTCCTCAACCAACAATGCAAAGTCATTCTTCTTTAAGTCTGACCCAGATACAACTGTAGACTCTGCTTCTGGGCCAGTTTCACCTTCACGCATTCCATAGTTAAGGGAAACCAGTGCTCTCACTACCAGCGTCAGAAGAAAAGCAACTAATCTTTAAGGCACAAGATTAAGGCAGGAAGTTAGAATGGAAAAATATGGAGAAAAATACAGAAAATACATGGCTAAGTACATGCCAGCTTTTCTATGGTTTTCAGTACTTTTTCATGTAAGAATATATTAAATCAACATTTTCTTTTAGGATTCGAACTCTTATTACCTGGTAAAAATGTGAGGCTGTATAAGAAAGACATTTTTAAAAGGTGTGGTGTGGAAATTGGCCCTCCCTGGTCGCACAAGGGGATAAGCCCAGCACAACAAAGCTACCGCCAGCCACTGCAGCACGAGTTTGATCCCCACCAGGGAGGTGGCCCACAGGGCACAGTGCAGCAGACCTCTCCTGACCCGCCTGCTGCTCCCCTCAGCAGTGTATTTCAGTCAAGCTGCCTGTTCTGCTCCCCACTCTTGTCTCTGGTGAATCTCTCACCCTTGCACCTGTGGCCTGCACCTCAGTTCTTATATGCATAAATAAATAAATAAAAAATCTTTTAAAAAAAAAGGTGTGAAGACTTACAAGGATTAATCTTTGGCAATTTTACTGTGAGTCAGTCTCATTAATTAATAAGCTCATGTAGAAGAGTAGATAACCATGGAATATTCTCTCTAATATCAGTCCTCAAGAACTTCCTGGACCTGGGACAGAAAATGCGGAAGCAGGTCAAGACAAGGGTAAAAACGAAAATAAAGACTGATCTCTTCCAGGAGAGCCTTTGGGGAGACAAGTCCCACTTGCCCCTCTTACTGCTTGTTCTCCACCCTAGTTGCACTCTTGAACTTAAGTTCAGCAAATTCTTAGAACTAATGATTTCATTTAAATATAAAAATCAAAAGGTTTATTCATAAAATATAGATTTTTTTTAATGCCTAAGAAGATGGGTTTAAAGGAATTAGAGTATTCTTTAGTTAGCAACAAGATGCCACACTGACCACCCAAAGTGATCACAAAGACCAAATTTACAATGGCATGGCACTGAGTACCTGAAATTTTTAAGCAACAAATATAAAGCTCAAATCACCAAAAACTTATGTTCGACATATTTATGGTAGCAACTTTACAAATCAACTCCTGTAATTTACTGTAACAAGTATCTTCCACTGCTCAACTGCCTTAGCACTACTAACAGCTCAGAGATGGTTTCTTGTGTGTTTTACAAATACTCTATACAAGTCCTTGAGATCATACTTACAGCTTTAGCTAAAACACCCATGATTTCAGGAAACTGGTGTGTGAGCAGGGCTATCATTGCTGTCGAAGAACACAACCCTGCTGTGAAGTGGATGAAAAAAGGAAGCTCCTTCTTTGGGTAAACAGAAACATGATGAAAAGCTGCAAGAGAGAAAAGGTAAAAATGGATTTTTATTTCACAATGATATGTATGCCAGATTTTAATATGGTCAAACAAAATTTATTTTTAAAAAGAGAAAAAAATTAAAAAAAAAAAAAACAAGAGTCATATAGTCAAGCAAGGTAAAAGAAAGTTACCCATTATTTATTCTCACGTTGACAACATATGTACACAGCCAGGTGATTGTGCTGAGGGCTGCGAGTACGATGGCATCGTGGGAAAGAGCAGGGATTGTAAAGTCATGCTGAAGTGGTTTTGAAAAAGAGCTTTGTCTCTTTTTGTGTGATCTAATAAGTGTTAATCCGCTGGTAGTTGCTATGGAGCTGTTATGATGAACATTGAAAGCCCTTAATAAATGTGAGTTGTTATAATACTTGCTCTCTGGTGCTCAGAGATGCATATAGCAGACTAGTAAGACAAGTGAGAAACACACATGTGGTTGGAGATTTCCCAGAACTGTCAGTTAATAATTTTACCCTATTGCTGCTAAGTGTTCAATAGGTGGCATTTCACTGAGCACCGTAAAGCAGCACCGAACACGTAAGTCCTAGAGGTGACAAAGTCCCTTGCCTTGTTTTACAACTTTTACATATTTACACATGTATTACCTTTCTAATGATTGGAGACTTCTTCACTAATAGAGTTCAAGTATTAGTATCTTCTTCGAAATTTGAAAATATTTGAATAGCAATGCTGGAATGTGCCTGTTTCAATGTTTGGCAGACAGTAGGCGCTCAATAAATGTCTGTTAAACTGAGAGCTATTCTGGGACTTCATTTAGTCCAGGAAGCTGACCTCTCAGGGCTGGACACAAATCCAGGAATTCCTGATATAATATCCTGCATAAGTAAGGGATGACTAATTCTGTGCTGAATCAAGGTCAGCTATAAATTTCACTTTTTCAGACACAGTGATTCACAGAGAAGAATACATCTAATTTTCCTTCAGTAACCAAAATATTATGTTTTATACTATGTTCAGAAAGTATATAGCAAAAACCAAATTAATTAACAATCCATAAAAATTCTAAAGATACACTATTCTTTAAAGTCAGACACATTAGTAGCTGTAGACAACACTGGGCTTTCAGCACCCGAAAAAATGAGTCTTTTTTGCTGTTCATCAGCATCAGCCATGAGAAGCCAACTCCTCCCAGAAAACTAAGAGAAACAAAGCAAGGTCCTTGCAGAGACCAGGAACAATGCTAATGGTTATTCTAGCTGCTACTATTGGAGAGATTCAAAATTAAGAATGTTAATAAACTGTGTAACATTTTATGGTTTACAACAGACTTTAGTTTATATTGGTTTGTTTTTAATAACCAAAAAAGATACAGTATTTTTCCCACTTCATATGAGATTTTTCTACTATTGGAGGGACTTGTTATTTCTTTTTGGATTGTTTTCGGTATCTTCATTTATCAGTCAGTGTTTGGCTACTACAGTGTAATGGATGACTTTTCTCCCTTGGAAATAAAGTTCAAATTTCATCATTGGCTTGTAGAGAAAAACTTATCAGGAGGCATGAAAGACAACTAAATACATGTGAACTAGAGAAATAGTTCAAGTCTGAACTTATGAAGACCATAAGTAAATTCCAGAATGCTGTTGAGATATATCAAGGCTGATGGAAAATTGCAAACAGAAAAACATTAAGTACTCCTGGGAATTAGAACTCCACAAAATTAAAAATTTGTTCCTTCTACCATAGTCAGAAACATAAAAAAATACTCAATGAACATACATAATCTAACAAAACTCCCAAGCATATCTTTCTCCTCCTACCTCCTTGCACCTTATATGAGTAAAAATTAATAAAAACCTGCCAGAAAGCAAGATGTCTGTTCCTACAGCCTAGGGTTCTGACAACGCATGACAATAATCCTGCTTTTCTTTATATGACTATGTTATGATGGTCTTGTATCGGGTAATCTTTGTAATTGTTTGGGGGGCATTATTTAGTCTAATATAAAATATAAAATATGTTTGCATATTGATATTTCATAGGCTATATTGCATATAGCCTAATATAAAATATGTTTGCATATTGATATTTCATAAGCAAAGGTTTATTCCTTTGTCTTAAATATCCTTATTCTTATTAAAATGGAGAAACAAGAACAACTACTACCACCAGCATGCTAGGAAGGAAAATAAAAACTTTCATTGCTGGCCTTCTAATTGTCAAAATCAATGAATGGATTCTTCTCAGTAATTACCTTAATCTCTCAAATACCACTCCTCATTGGAAATTTCTTCCTCCTTCAAGTTTCTATAATATCTAGTTGGGGTTTTTCCTGTCTCTCTGACCACTCCTTCACTGAATCTTCCAGGCTTTTTATCAGTCATCCATTCCTTGGGCATTTTTGTGCCCCCATAGTTACACCTTTAGTTTGCCTCTCAAGGAAAGTTTACCTTCCCTTGGTTATCTCATTCAGGTCTAGAACTCACAAGTTGGCTTTGTGCTGTAGAGGGATGCCAGAGAGAAAGAGATATTAGGACTCATGGCAATTTTGTTTATACAACTGCTCCTACCCTAGACCACTGCTGACTGGGCCAGGGCAGGACATAGAAGTTTTAGAAGTGAGGTTCAGATGTTACTTATTTGTATCATTTGCTCCAACAGTATAGTTGCATCAAGTTTGGTTACATGAAGTCTAGGAGGGAAAGCCAAATGTAAAGAGAGGGGTATAAAAATGTAGCAGGCACACCAAGGAAAGCAGAAACAAGCACTCACACAAGAGAAGACTGATTTGGGGGAAGGAGAAAAATAAAGTAAGAACAGGAGAGCCTGCAAAAGGCAGTCAGACATATATACAAATATATCTATACAGATTATAAGGACAGAAAATCCCGATGGTCTCCTAGTTCCTGGTACCAGTCCCTTATGAGTTCCAATGTAATATTGCCAGGGCCCTCCCTGGCAGTGCAAGGCATTAAAGTGCAGCACTGTGAAATTATCCACAGCCATTGCAGCACGAGTTTGATCCCTAGCCAGGGAGGTGACCCATGTGGCACAGCAGACCTCTCGTCTGGCCCACTGCTCCCCTCTGTAGTGTATTTCTGTCAATCTGCCTTTTCTATTCCCTACTGTCTCTGATGAACCCTCTCACCCCTCTCACCTCTGGCCGTACCCCAGTTCTTGTATGCTTAAATAAATTTATCTTTTAAAAAAAGGTAATGCTATCTATGGGTTCTCTGAGGTAATCTAGTCTTCTCCCAAAAAATTCCCATTTTTCTTTAAATATGTATGAAGTGCTTACAACACTTACTATTTATCTATTTTATAGCATATATATATATATATATAACATATATTACTTACAAATATAGCTTAGACCCATATATATTTTATATAGAAAGACTATGTATGTGTAGGTATGAAATAGATAATAAAATATTTAAATGTCTATATGGACATATATAGATATATCACATCTGCATGAATTGTGTCCAGATGACTTGCATGCTGTACATGCAACATACTGAGAGCATGAACTTGCTACTCTTCCAAACATACTTTTCTTATTGCTTTATTCTCTTATTGCATTATTCAAGTAATCCAAGTTAGATCTGGAAATCATCCCTGAACTGGGAGAGATAGGCATACTCTACTCCAGCTGCCTTATAATCTATTTCATACATACAGCACTTAGCACACTGTTTATTGGTTTCTCTATTAACCTATTAGCACTTAGGAGTTCAGAGTAGGGTAAGGAGGTAAAGGTACTAATGTTTAACATTTCTGTTGAGAACTTTCAATGTGGCTGGCATGTTTAAAAGAATAAACTTGACTAATTCAAATATTATTTATTAGGTATCAATTTTTATGGTAAATATTATAGTGACAACAGGGACAATAAAGGTAATCTCTTCTAAATTTCTATCTTTCTGAGCAGATTAGTTTATAACTTGATGATTCTAAAGTTGCGTCCATCTTAGACGAGTTCAGATGGTAATGACTCTAGCATTGGAAAAACCATAGTATGTATAAGGAAGTGGGGCATGTTTTCAGTTATCAGCATGCTTCCTTAGTGATTAAATCACAAAAAGAAAACTTAAACAGAAGTTTATGAATTTACCAGTTCATAGAGAAGAGTGAGTGACTAATAAAGCAGTTGAGACAAAAAAGAAGAGACTGTACTTTCAAGAAGTTTGGTTTCCTAAATGGAGCAATTATTCGCAAACACTCTCAGTCACTATAACCCTACATATTTCTCGTTCTTCTATAACTTTTTCACTGACTATTTTCAAAGTTAGGAAATGCAATTCCTCCAACTTCATTCTTAGGTATAAAGATTGTGTTGACTTTATATTCTGTGTCCTTTTCTTTTCCATGTAAAATTTAGGATGAACTTGTCAAATTTTGCAAAAACCTTACCAGGATTTTCATATGGATTGTATTGAATCTATAGGTCAATTTGGAGATAACAGTTATATATTATCATGCTTCATTTAGTGATGTTTTGGTTAGTGAAGCTCACAAATACGACAGTGGTTCCAACAGGATATTATCACACAGGGCTGTGTAATTACACTCTATGGTGTTTGTGCAATGATGCCTAATGACACATTCTTAGAACGCATCCTTGCTGTTAGGCTTTGCACAATTCTGTAAGTAAATATTAGGTTTTCTGATCCATAACCATGGAATAGCTCTCTATAATTTCTTAGTTTTTTTTTTCAGCAACATTTTGTAGCTTTTGATATACAAATCTTACATTTTCTAAAAATAAAAATAAAAAGACATGTATTCAGCCACATGAGCAGACTATTACATTTAGAAACCAATAGCACAGGCGCAAAAAAACCTACACCCCACTGTTGAATGCTTTACCCTTTCCTCAGAACAGAAACTAAACCTGTTATATAATTATTCACAGATACAACCCTGCGTTTCTTGCACACACGTGAATACGGCCCACAGCGTGTCTTCTTTGGAGCAGCGACGCCCTGCACCACTGCTGGGGCGAGCTCCCACGTCTGTGGTGACCTGTAGCCTTCCTGTCACTCCTCTGGCTCTCCTCTCCCACTAAGCTTTGTTTCCTGGCACTTAATTAAAACCTTCTGCTATGTCACAGCTTTGATAGTTCATGCTGGAACCACCCTAGCCACTTTGGTTTTGTGGTCTGGCAAAGTATTGACCTCCCCCACCTACGCCAGAGCTTCTACCTCTAAAGTTTTCTCTTTTCATGGTTCAAAATTTAAGGAATTGATTGTTGTAATTCCCAAAATCATTTGAGCTTCCACCACTTCCAAAATTCCTCCCATCACTACCCAATCCATTACAGCCATCCCCACTGCCACCATCCCCACTACCAGCTTGGTGACCACCTAGGCTACCTTGACCACTGAGGTTTACTCCATCACACAGTTGTCATTCTCACCAAAACCACCTCTGTGACTACCAATGATGTTTCCAGAACTACCTCAACCTCCTTCGCTGGATAAAGTACTGCCCACCTCTTCCTTAGGACTTTATGTTATAAGACTATTCCAGTCTTCTTTCTTGTAATGTCTTTGTCAGATTTGGTATGAGGGGAATAGTGATCTCACTGAATAAAGTGTGGAATGTTTCTTTGCTCTTTGTTTTCTGAAGAGTTGTACAGTATTAATATTATTCTTTAAATATTATTCTTTACATATTTTAAATAAATATGTAAGATGATTGTTCTTTTTAGTATCTTTAATCTTTGTGTCCTTCATTTCATCGAAGGCAAGGATTTGCTTAAAGAGTATTTAGAAATGAACTGAATTATACACCTACATTTCACAAGTGACTAAAATTTATTTTTTTCTCTTTAGGAACTCCCCCATAATAAAATAAAGTAATATTTAAACAGTACTCTAAATTTCAAACAAAAGCACTTTTGAGATGGGAGAATACTATGAAAAACAATTTTACAAACACTTTTTAAGCTTAAAAACACTAAAGAGCCTCCCTGGTGGCACAGCAGGTTAAAGTGCAGCATTACAAGTTAGCCACAGCCACTTCAGTGTGAGTTCAATTCCCAGCTCCAGAAGTGATCCACACAGTGCAGCAGACCTCTCCTGCCTCGCCTGCTGCTCCCCTTAGCAATCTACTTCATCCACCTGCCTGTTCTGCTCCCCACTCTGTTTCTGGAGAACCCTCTCACTGACCCTGCACCTCTGGCCTGTACTCCAGTTCTGTATGCATAAATAAATAAATCTTTAAAATAAAAACAAAAAGAACACAACAATATTTACTTACTAGGTAACAGTTCTCTATCAGCCGTCTCTGTGCAGCTGGGGTAAGGGTAAAATAGATGGCCTTTCTCTAATGGGTATGGAATCATTCTGAAAGCTGAGAAGAAAAACACATGTTGACATCCAAGTCAGTCTCATTTCCATTCTATACTACAATTCAAAGCTAACTGTGGAGACACTGTAAAAATTTCAAACAGCATTTTGTTTTCTTTTTTAGGTAGGTATTTTAGATGAAAGAAACATAATAAGCAATAGAATGAATAAAGGGAAAATAAGATTTAGAAAGTAATGAATGGTCGGGCTGGACTAAAACTAAAGGAAAAGTGGTTGATAAGCCTAACTGGGTCCTTCTGTCTTCAGTTTCCTTACTACAAAGTATAAGCTCTCCAACTATGAATTCCATTCTTGTTTAAAATGCAATATGTATAATTACCATAGCCATAATTGTTGACAACTTAAAAGAGTTTCAGTAGCCCATGAGTTCACATATAAGATGTTATCAAAGGTTCCTATAACAAAACTTCATTGAGATCAAGTCACCAAAATATAGCCCTTGGTCAGACCTAGCCCACTGTTTTGTAGATAAAATTTTTGTTAGAATATAGTCATGCTTATGAAAAAATGTTCAACATCATGTGTAATAAGGGAGATGCAAATTAAAACCACAATGAGATACCACCTCACCCCAGTGAGAAGGGCACATCTTCAAACAACTAACAGCAACAAATGTTGACGAGGATGTGGAGAAAAAGGAACTCTCCTGCATTGCTGGTGGGAATGAAAGCTAGTACAACCACTATGGAAAACTGGAAGTTTCTCAAACTGCTAAAAATGGAGCTTCATTAGGACCCAGCAATCCCACTCCTACGTATCTACCCAAAAGACACAAAAACACTGACTCAAAAAGACACCTGCATCCCCATGTTTATTGCTGCTTTATTTACAACTGGAAAAACATGGAAACAAGCCAAATGCCCAAAAGTAGATGAGTGGATTAAAAAGATGTGGTACATATACACAATGGAATATTACTGAGCAACCAAAAAAGATAAACACATGCCTTTTGCAGCAACACGGATGGAGCTGGAAGGAATCATGCTTAGTGAAATAAGCCAGAAAGAACAGGAAAAATACCGGATGGTCTCACTCATAGCAGGACTATAAAGGACAAGATAAGGAAATAATAATAATAATGAACAACTATATGCCAGAGACATTTTACGAGGGTGTTGTGGGAATGGGATCAAAAACTGTGGGGGGATGGAAGTGCACTGGACTATGGTGATGGCACATGGGTGATTTGGTGATGGGAAGCACCCGGGGATTACAATTGAGATGGAAAAAGGCACAAAATGACGTAAAAATAAACTATTAAATTATTAAAAAAATATATAGTCATGCATGTTCATCTCATATGTTTTTTTCTTTCCAGCCTATAACCTCTTGTCATCTATAATATGCAAACACCTTCAACAAAACAGTAACAAACTGAAAAATACTAACAATCTAAAGTTGCTTTCATGACACAAGAGTTGGGCAGTTGTACAGAGACAGCAGCAATGGCCCACAAAGACTAAGTATTTACCATCTTAAACTAGATTATCAACTCTAACAGACTTCTTAAAGGAGGAATCCTCATTGATCTACCCAATTAGCTAATTACACATCAAAATTGTATGACTATTCATGAAATACAGGATAATTAAAAAAACTTGTTAAAAATCATCTGTGTCAGGCCCTCCCTGGTGGCACAGCGGGTTAAAGCACCGCACTGAGAATCTAAAAGCCACTTCCTCATGAGTTCAATTCCCACCTGCCCCGGAGGTGACCACATGGCGTGGCAGACATCTCCTGACCCGCCCGCTGCTCCCCTCAGCAGTGTACTTCGTCGATCTGCCTGTTCTGCTCCCCACTCTGTCTCTGGTGAATCCTCTCACCCTCCACATCTCTGGCCTGTACCCCAGTTCTATAAGAATAAATAAATCTTAAAAAAAAAAATCATCTGTGTCAAACAGAACCTTAGGCACTGAAGGCATATACAAGGTGAATGCCACAGAGTGCCTGTCTTTAAGGAGCTTACAGATTAATGGGGGGGGGGGGAGAAGCAAAAGAAAATCTGATTATCCAAACACATTCAGCTTTTGAGTTTTAGTAGTCTTTGTTTCATTAATCTCTATTGCCGGTATGAAGCACAGAATTTGGCCCTTATCAAACAACTAATGCAGATTCCTTCATTTTCTGGTTCAAGGACACATGGTACCCTTCATGTCTCAGCAATTTCTTAAATGATATTTCTAGGCTGAAAGGAAAACAATTCCACTTATTAAGCAATGGATTCAAACAACTTTAAAAGTTTGTGTTCTAACAACTTAGCAGTGATTTTGAAAATACACACACACATACAAATTGAAAGAAAAAAAGCATGATCTCTTTTTTAAATAATCATCATTTCTTATTATTGGGATATATGAACCTTTAGGAACTGCACAGCCACTCAAACCTTTGATTAGATTGGCTATGACCATCATTTCCTGTCTTACACTGATTTCTGTGTGGTACTTCCTTTAACTAGCAGCAACTAACAAAAAATCAAACTTTCAAAAACATGACAACGCTGAAAGAAACAGAATGGAGAGCCACCTAATGTTAAAGCCATGAATTATCAAGAGCTAAGAGTGTGAACAGTGTCTGACAGATGCTACATGTTGCTATGTTTCTACTGAGTAGCTACCATATTCCATGACATTCTGACGAGTTTGTGGCAAAGCCGTAGGATGTCTCTGTACAAAGTTTAGAACTGAGGAAGTAAATCAGTTTTAGTGAATGCTGAATGAATTTATTTTTAAATTTTTATTCATCATGGAACACTTTCCAAGAAAAATATTGTAAAAATTCAATGATAAAATGCGTTGTTTCTTCATTTTATTAGTGATCTAAAAAAACTACAAATAAAGGATCTGATCATTTCAAAAATGCCCAATTCTCCAAAGAAGATACACAAATGGCTAATTAGTAAATAAAAACATATTCAACATCACAAACTTTTAGGGAAATGCAAGTCAAAAGCACAAAAACATAACCACATCACACCCACTAGGGACGTTATTAGGAAAAACACACACACACACAGAAAACATTTTCTTCCCTTGCCAATTGCTGGTGGGAATGTAAAATGATGCAGCTGCTATAGGAAAATCAAGCAAACTGGCGACCAGGGGTTGGGGAAGGAAGGAAGTTTTATTGTTCAATGGATATGGAACTGCAGTTGGGATGAAGAAACAATTCTAGGGATGGATGACACTGATGGTTACACAACAGTGAAAAAGTATGTAATACATCATTTAACAGAACATTTACAATTTTTGGTTAAAATGGTCACTTTTATGATAGATATATGTTATCACAATTTTTAAAAGTTTATAAAATAATAGAATTGATATTGCTGTGAGGAAACAGTTTCATGTACACTTCTGAAAAATAATCATCGGTGCAATTATTAAAAAATTAGCATAACAACTCAACCACAATAAAAAGCTTATAAACCAAGGGATATATTTTCTTCCCTTGCCAATATATAATTTAAATGAACAGATAGCAGGATAAGTTAGCAGTTTCTCATTCTGTTTTTTCCTAAATGGGGGATCAGTAAAATTTTCTTAAAGCATTTCTTCTACCAATGAGCCAAATGACCAATCTGAACAACAAATCCCTACAGAAGCTCAGATAATCTCATTTTAAATGTGAATGCAATGAATAGTCAGCTAGATTAGTTACATCTGGAGAATACTTACTGCCTTCCCATGTACACTGTAACAGGTTAAGAGCACCCTCTATTCGCTTCCAATGCTGAAGATGAAAGAAAGCATAGGCAATTGCTTCACTATCACCCCGTTTCAGAATATGTTCTGGAGGCAAGATTAGACTTTTCATCTCTAGTAAGTACTGAAAAAATAACACACAAGAGAAGTTAAATTCAAGCACACACAAAAATGTAGATTAAAAATTCTATGAAGTTCATTTGGTTTTAAAATGTGATTTTAAAAGCTAGATCAATGATATGAAGGTACTACTGATTTTATATTTTATATATGCAAGCTCCAAAGATCAGAATATTCCTGTAGGTAAAACAAATGGCTTATGTATGACCTTGTTAATTACAAAACAAAAGCTCAAGCTAAGGAAATATGTGAAAGGAAATTTTTATTTTTCAAAAAAAGAATTAAGCATAAAGATTAAAAAAATACAATTTGGAACTATGTAGCAACATTCAATTCTTTTCCCCCTTCTTATTCCCATTTGATAGATTAAGGAGCTTAATTGTTAAACTCAATTATGTTACTAAGTGCAAAGCACTATGCTTTTAGGAAATACCAAAACCATTCTATCTGGAGCACCTAATGTAATACTATAGATTTCTCAAGTAAGTAATTGTAACTGGAGTGTGGTGAGTAGCTTTGTTAGAAGTATAAACAATGCATTTAAGAATATGGATAGGAGATTTTTTCTATTTAGTTCTTTTATAACAACTTCACGGAGAAATAATTTACATACTTTGTAAAATTCACCTATTGAAAGTCAACAATTCAATGTGTTTTTAGTATATTCACAGAAAATGAACCATCACCACAGTCAATTTTAGAATATTTTCATCATCTCAAAAAAAAAAAAAAAAAAACCTCGTACCTTTGCATATTTGTCCTCCACTTCCCCACTCCTCCTAAACCCTAAGCAACCACTAATGCGCTTTCTATTTCCGTAGATTTGCCAATTCTGGATAGTTCACATAAGTAAGGTGACATAATATATGGTCTTTGTGATTATTTTCTTTCATTTAACAGTTTTCAATGTACATCCATGTTGTAACCTGTATCAGTACCTTGACCCTTTTTGTGGCTGAATCATTCCACATTATATGGATATACCACATTTCTTTATCCATTCATCAAGATTGGTTGTTTTTTTAACCTTCTGGCTATTATGAATAATGGTACAATAAATATTCACGTTCAAATTTTTTTGTTTACATGTTTTTACCTTTCTTGTGTATATAATCTGCTAGGTCATATAGTAACTTTGTGTTTAAGAGGTATTGATTATGATGTAAGGGCTAGAATCTGCTAGAATCTGGAATTTGACCTGATATGTAAAGGTAGGTGGAACATGTATAAGCAGAACAGGGTGTGGGGTTGAGAGAAGAACACAGAACTTAGTGGAAGTACAGGCCAACTTGAAAAGGCACCAAGTTAAGTCTGTGGAAGTACAAGATGCACTGATGGAATTAAACAATGTGTCTGTTCAAGAAATTACATCCGGTCAATTCTTACTCAAATATAAAATTAAATTTTATCTTAAACTGTTGAAGAAAACACTTCCCTTAATATTAAAAATCAATACAAAGCAATATAATCAGTTACTGCACTAATCAAATACACTAATTCCATGAAGATGCAAAATGAACCACTTATATATGATCTTTACTATTAAAGTGGCCAACTAAAAACCAAAACTTTAAAAAGGTATTAAACACTTCCTTCCAAAGCCTAAGGTCAGAATACACTTTCTCTGCTGAAATAGGTTTGAAATAGCCTCTTTTGTTCTAAATAACGTGAAATCAAATTATGTGTCATAAGATCCAAACCACATTAATCTCCATTATAAAATGTAAAAGAGAAATATTTCAGAGTGCCTCAAAAGATATATTCTTACATTTCAAATTCTGAGTTCCTTAGGTTGTTACACAAACTAATGAGATAAACAGCTCAAAAAGAGCTGAACTTAAAAAGTAAAACTGCTACAGGCAGGGAAAAATCTAAAACAAAACAAAACAAAACAAAAAGTTGTAGTAGTTTCAAAACTATGTCTTAGATTATTAACCAGCACACAAGTATTCATCATATGTAACCATCACCTAAAATAAGGTTCACCTTTCTTATTAAGAAATGTGCCTCTCTAGCACGTACTAAGTATAATATCTATCTTTAATTACTCTTATGCCTCAATACAAAAAAAAAAGAATAACTGCTTTTGATTTCCCTGGCTCTCCTCAAAGTGTAAAAATGTAGTCTGCTTATCAATTTATATTAGCAGATGTCACAGCTATGAGATTATTTACTAATCCAGTTTGGGGACTTAACATTTCCCATTCAGCTTCTTTGAGGAATGCAGCAGAGGTTGTGTCCTGGTCAAGCAAAGCCCATTTGCTGCCTGGTTGGGTTTTTTCCCCTTAGTGCCCTGGGCCTACATTCAGGAAGGTAATATTCTTTCTAATTCTCTCTAATCCTTGACCATTTTTTAAAACACAGTGAAATATCATTCACACCAGGCAGCTGTGGGAAAATGGACTAAAGTAGCTGACCTCTGACATGACTCCCTGTGCTCTTTGCAAGCTCACTAAGAGCTTCTTCAGTAGGAAGCAAAGAAAATGCAGCAATCTCAGTGGATCTCTGTCACAGAAAAGAGAACCTCACCTTCAGAAAGAAACAGTTTAATACTTAAAGCAAGTCCTTTCTATTAAATTTCTACAACATTTTACAGATAACAGATAGAAGAGGTAATATATCCAAATTAGTTTTAATGCCCTGAAACTTTAAGCTAAAATGTATCTTGATAGTCACTTAGCAAAAGGTAAGAGAAGATATTTAAACATATTATATAGAAAATATCAGCTTAATATGTCAAGGAAATACTGTTTTAACATTTATTTATCTATGCATACAGAACTGGGGCACAGGCCAGAGGTACAGGGGAGGCGAGAGGAGAGGATTCATCAGAGACAGGGTGGGGACCAGAACAGGCAGAGCGACAACTGCTAAGGGGAGCAGCAGGTGAGACAGAAGAGGCCTGTCACACCCTGTGGATCACCTCTGGGGCTGGGGATCAAACTCACACTAAAGCTGCTGTGGCCAGCTTGCAGTGCTGCGTTTTAACCAGTTGTGCCACCAGGGAGGGCCATACTTTTTTTTTTTAAACAGCAAATACATATACATATTTTTACTATTTGATCACCTAAGTGACATTCAGACAGTAATCAAACATGGCATGCTTATTAGGAAACAATACTTAAGGCTTTTATATTTTAAAAATCTTTACTATTTAACCATTAAATTTTTTTCCTTATGCTATCTTGTTTTTTTCTTATGCAAATGTCCTTCCTAATTTGACTTTCAAAAAAGATTTATTTATGCATACAAGAGGCCAAAGATGCAAGGTGGGGGGTGAGAAAATTCAGAGACAGAGTGGGGAGCAGAACAGGCAGATGGACTAAAATACACTGCTGAGGGGAGCAGAGGGAGAGACAGGAGAGATCTGCTGTACCATGTG